ACAAATGCAAAGCGCCAAAAACTGCGACACTTTGTATAAATTGTGTCGAAAAACGGCAGCGGGCATCGCGTCGCGTCCCGTCGCGTCCAAGTTGAACCAGCTCGAACACCAACGCTGGCAGGGACAGCTAGAGCCAACTGTCTGCCAAGACAATTTGTTGGTCCGTCGCATTGTCGGCCGCTTGGTTAGCTGCCTGACTGGCCTGCCACACCCCCTCGGGCAAATGCAACAAATTATTGTCATCAATTTTTAGATGCAAAGCTCGAGGAGTGACATTTATTGAAGCGTGGCTGAACGTTGCGGCCGGCGGCCCAGCGGCCAGCGATCAGCGTTCAGGCCAGGATGCAGCCGGACGTGATTGCTCACATTGCTCCACATTGTAGGCGACTGGCTGGCTAGCTGGCTGGCTGGTAACGTTAATGTTGATTATAGTGTGCCACAGCCTGGCCAGTCTGAGACTGCCGTCTAGGAATGACACGTTTTGTCGTTGATTGCTAGGAAACGATGGCAACAATGGCTATAGCAATGATGCGAACGAGCAACAAGTGGCCATCGGGCGGCCACTTAAATTAGCACCGCGCTTCAGTTTTCAGTTTTATGGCGGCGGCAGCTGCTTCATTAGCTAGCCAGCCGATTTGCCGAAAAAGTAAAAGCCAAAAATTATGACCATATTTGTGGTAAATTATGAGACCCTTTCATAAATCAGCACTGGGGGGCAGCTGCAAAAGCCTCGACGACCTAGCGAAATAGGCTGCGTCCACCGTTTTGACTTTGTTTAAGACGTGGCTAACAGAAGGACTACTTTAAGGCCAAACACTCCAAAATAGTCCATGGAAATTTACATTGTGCCGCGGCGCGAGCGCTGGACAATCGCCAGCGCTTGACTTGCTTTAAACTGTGCCATTTATCATACATATAGCGACCGATATGTGTATACACATTTTGTCAGACCGCATTTGGCCTTTTGCTATTTTCACCATTTCTTTCGCTTTTCAATATGCCAGCCCCAACTGCTGACCGACAACAATTCCATTGTTGTTAGGTGCACGGCTACTCCATAAAGGCTACCGTTTTGCGGAGCGCGTTGTTTCTGCGCCACTTATTCAACGACCGAGCCGTGTGGCAGCATCGAGTTGGGCGGCTGGTGGTACTGCATTTGGCCTAAGCATGTCTTGTGGCCTCTAACAATAACAGCGACAATGACTGGACAACCGACTTACCAGATTAGAGCTACTAACAAACTCAAATATGACACTCGAAAGAAACGGTGCAGAGCTGGGAGAATGGTTTTCAGTTCCAGGGGCGGCTACTGTTGGTATTGCCTATCGCCTGAAAATTAGAAATTATCTTGTTAAAAATAGTTTTCTAAATATAAGTATCAAGTTACAAAGCTGCGCTGAGTGAAAACGCCAAATTTCACCTGTAAATATTCCTCTGGTATGCCTGACAGAATTACATTTTTTAACAGTTCGTTATGATAATGATAATAATACTATTATTAATAATAGTAATAAAGATAACAATATTATAAATATTTGGAATTGATTTAGTGTTTGTAGTCCAAAATACTTCAGAGCATCATCATTTTAAGAAATATTCTGTGAATGCACTTATGAGCTTAGAGGAAGCCAACAAATTGTCGTCGTAGCAGCAACTGATGCCAATTAAAGACTCCATGTGACCCCAGCCCAAGTTGGGCTGTCATGCGGTGGTAGGCTTTCCATTTTGCCACTGTTTTTTTTTTCTTTTTGTGTGTTGTGCTTGGCTTTGTGATATGTGCAGCTAATTGACCGACAACAGCGGCCTCAGATGCTGCACTTCATCATAAAAAAGAGTGAGACCTACTCGAGTGGCGCGGCATTACGTCAACGTCAACTCAATTTGGCGGTTAACAAGCATGGGACACAGTCGAAGATGGAGTCCGAGTCCGAGTCTGAGTCTGAGCTGGAGCCAGCGCGGGTCAAGTGCTGACGCATCTGCCAAATCAAGTGAAGTGCACCAAAACTTGTAGTTACCAAAATAAAAAATGCTTGAAAAATAATGAGAGTTGTGGTTGTTGTTGTTGTGTTGCTCGTGCTGTAGCTGGCAGCATCATTAAGAGTGATCATCTGTCAGGCAGCTTGAAACATGAAACATGAACGAGATCTTTGCCTCATTTAAGTTTTTCTTTTGGATTTGGTTTCGTCTGTTGCATTGCTTTGCGACAGCTCATTACGATTATATCCATATTTCCATTTCAAAAACTTGAGCTTGTGAAATTTTCAATTAAATAAGTGGACTCTGGCTGTCAGTACCAAATATTGTACAACGGACCTTATTGATCGTTTGATAAAAATATATATATCCAAGAGCATCGGAAAAATATTTAATTTAAAAACATTTATTCGTCATCGAGTTCTTCAGCTGATCTGCTGTGAAACGTTTTATATTGAAATCCATAACATTCGCTACACTACGCAGTTACTCTTACTTTTAATAGTTCTCGATTGCATGTTTTTCTTTTTCTGTGGAAAGCTTTTTTTCTCTTTGTTGATTTCCCATAATTTAGATTACCAACCGGCTGTCATATAAGAAGTATGAAGTTAAACTTTTGGCACGCCGAAGGATAAATACTCTTCGGATTGTTCGCACCTGCACTAATTTGTCTCCTTCCGTAAAATCGCGCTGAATTTTGTGTTTTATTTCTTGATTGTTAATATCAGATATATCTAATATCCAAAAATGTAGGAATTCAATATTTACTTATATATAAATATTGGAGTCGGAGATGTTTCCGTTTATGCGTTACACATTTACCGATTAAATTGTTATATACGTTGCAAGAGTATAACAATTGGTTTTAATTTGATTAGGTTTCACAGCTGTGTCTTGCAGTCGCCAAGTTACATTAAAAAAGTCTATAAAAATGGAAATGCAAGCTGTGGATTTATTTTATTTCCCATTCAGAGCTTGAAATCGACATGTCCTTGATATTTAATCAGTTATTCGCCTTACTGCTAATACCGCTTTTTTATCCACACGGCAGCTTGTCATCAAAACCTGCCGAACTCGGCGCCTATTGTAAAACTTCACGCTGCGGCCTTAAGAATTTGGCATGCAGGAATTCAAGAGTAAGTTTAGGAATAATGTAAATCATATTGGTAATTTTGGTTTTCATATAGAACTTGAGCATTGCTTGCGCGCCTGGCTCTAAGGTGGTTAGCTTGTCACCCTATAGAGAGCAGCTGTTGCACCAGTTCAACAGTTTTCGCAATAAAGTTGCCGTTGGTTATACGCGCACTTTGTTTCCAGCCGGACGAATGGCCCGTATGGCATGGTCTACAGAACTGGAAAACTTTGCGAAAATGTATATTAAGAAATGTGTATTTAATCCGCGACCCTGCATGGCCTCGGTACAGTTTTCAGCCATTGGCAGCATATACGATGGGCTCTCCTACTCGGGCAGCCAAAAATCGCATAAAATTCCTGAAATCACAGAGGAGCTGCTAAATGGATGGTTTGAAGATGCACGTTTTGTGACGAGAGAATTGTCGCTGCGTTTGAGAAACGAATTTACTCGACCGTTAGTAATGGTCCCATAATGCCATAGGCTTACTATTAATATTTCCAACCCTTTCATAGAACTGTACGTCAAGCCGTGTTGCTAATGGCGGACCGCAACACACATGTAGGCTGCAGTGCAATGAGATTGTCAAATGGAATGGTCAATCAGTTTTTTCTAGCCTGTACCTTTGCCACCGACAACATATTAAATAAGCCCATATACAAGGTAAGGGCTACGGCAGGCAGTCTGTGCAAACAACGCGACAGTACTTATAAGAATCTGTGCGCACTTGGTGAAGTTTACAATAACCAGCGCGAATACAAGCCTGGCGAGCTGCTCCCATCTTCCGCGGAGCTCTTTTCTGAGGTTGAGGTGTAACAAACCAAGTTCAATTAAATAAAATACATTTAGAAATATTATGACTCCCACTGGGTTTCTCTAATGTGCAAGGTTCGTGCAGCTTTTTGGGGTAGGTATAAAAGGAGCTGGGGCGCGGTTCGTGCCCAGCAATCGTTAATAGTAGCTAGCTTTAACATGAGGCAGTTTCTTCTTTGGTTCAGCTTGTGGTTGTCACTGGGCGCTAAATTAATTCTCACTGTCCCGGAGCTGGTGCAGCAGTTGCAAGTACAGCAACGTTTTGACTATGTGCTGCTGGTTGGAAGCTCCAGCTCCGATTGGTCACAATTGGTGTGGAAGCTGCCCTTGTCCTCTATTAAGATTAAAGACAAATTGAACATCAGCTATCATCTAGATAGATATCACTCTAATCACTTGCTTAGCATTGCATACGTTGATGAACATGATACACATGAACTTCTTGAGTTTCTGACTTTCAATTTGAGATTATGGAATACACAACCCTTACTACTGGTCTTCAAAAAAACTGAGCAAGTGCAAGTGATCTTGAAATGGTGCTGGCAACAGCTGCAGTTGTTGCATGTTTTGGCGATTCTCGAAGACTTTCAGGTATTTATAAGAAATATATTATTAAATATCAAGCTTTTACTTAATACTATAAATTTTCTGAACAAAGAAATCAATTAATATTTACGACTCGCCTAAATCATATTGGTCACATTTGGTTCATAATTTTCTAGAGGTAGCATTCTATTCCTGTGCTTGCAATTCACGGTTTTGGACTTGTTGTTGAATTTATTCCGCTGCAAGTCTCAATACAGTCTTGGTAGGTGCTATAGCGATTTGGATTTCCACCACATCCGCCATAGATGAATGTTTTACATTGATGTTCGTACGGGTCAAAGGCAAACATTTTGAACTTGCCTTTGCATGGACCGTGGTTGGCCGCAAGTTTGCATTGAACTGAAAATACCTTATTAAGATTTGATTCTAGAATCCAACCATAATACTTGCCTATAGAATTCGGTGCAGCTTGGGCAACTAAAATGAGACACAGCAAGCAGCAAAAAAACAAAATTTTTATAGCCATATTTACAATTTACAATCAAAATGAAATCTGGCTGAAATATTTACCGAGATGATTAAAAAGTAAAAGAACTTGATTTAAATTTTCTCAGCATGGTTGTTCGTAAACAAATTGCCAATAGTGTGAAATACCCCCATATTTTTAGGATACCGGACTCATGTACAGCTATTCACCTTTTCCGAAATTTCAACTTAAAAAGCGATTGATCACAAACAAGACGAATCCAATTATAATACCACGCCTGCGAAATCTCCGTGGCTATAAACTTCCAGTTATTGTGGGCGGCTCAACTCCACGACTTATAGTTTATCGTCGTCCAACTGGGGAGCTAGTCTACAGCGGCTACGTGGGCCATTTGATGCACTGCTTCGAACAAAAATACAACTGCAGCTTGATTCAGCCGGTTCCGCTAACCGAGAACACATTGGTGCCAGCCCGGCAGCTGATTGGAGCAGTGAGAAACGGCAGCGTCCAGTTTGCCTTTGCGGCAACTTATCCGGGTATGCCTCTCCAGGGTTACACGTATCCCTTTGAGATCCTTAACTGGTGTATTATGCTGCCCGTTCCAAGCCCAGTTCCGTCCAGTGAGCTCTACAGTCGTGTACTGGATTTGCCCACTTTTCTGATTGTACTCGGATCCTTAGGACTGATCTCAGCAATACTATCGTTTACCTTATGGCGTTATGGCTATCGCGTTCAACCGTATGAGTTTCTGCTGCACAACAATTGTCTGAGAGGAGCTTTGGGTCAATCTTTCAATGAGGTTCTACGGGCGCCTTTGCTGGTGCGTGGCATTTATTTGGAGATCTGTGTATTGGGATTCTTGCTCACCGCCTGGTACAACTCGTATTTCTCAGCGTATATCACCAGCTCCCCTAAACAGAAGCCATTCACGAGCTATGATAGCATATTGAACTCGGATCTGAAGGTGGTTATCTGGACTTCTGAGTATCAAACGCTGCTCAGGTACGATAGGCAAATTCGAAAGTATGAGGCGATATTTAAGATCGAGCCAGACTTTGAGAAATACCTAAAAATGCGCGACTCGTTTAATACTCTGTATGGCTATGCGATGCCTATACAGAAGTGGAACATTATAAAGCAACAGCAAATGGTTTTTAGCTCAATTTTGTTTACTATGCGCGAGGACCTTTGCTTTTATCAAGGCGTCCCAATTATGTTTCCCATTGCTGAGAACTCTGTTTTCAGGGAGCCACTAGAGCGGTTGATAGGAGAGGTGACTGCCACTGGCCTCATGGTTCATTGGCGTGACATGGCATTTAGTGAAATGATTAAAGCTGGCAAATTGCGTTTGGTCGACCTGGGCAAGCCAAAGGAGTTCCGTGCCATGCAGTTAATGGACTTGAGCGACATTCTAATGGCTGGTGGATTGATGATGACCCTGGCACTGGCCGTATTTGGGCTGGAGCAACTATGGTTTCACAAAATGCGACTAAGACGATATTTGCGTGAGGGCTTAAAAATTGCAAAGCAATTAGTGCACTTAAAATAAAAAATTTCGAAGATTACGCACTACGCAGCATTTTTTGCTTTAAAATAAAAAATATATTACTGACCAGCAAAAACACTAAAATAATAATTTTGATAAATATTTAAATAAAGTTAATTTCACTTTTCTTAATAAAAGTAGATGGGTGACTATTTTCTAAAAGCATCACCGACCGATGGAGGTGTTTTACTTTCCCGTCGGCCCAGCTATGCCACTTTTTACAGCTTATTTTGTTAATTATTAAACATATATTAATACAAAGATTTCTTGGTAAGCTTGTTAAGAACCAATTCAGCTTTATAGGGGTTTCGAATTCATAATCGATCCCAGCTATACTAAATATTGTCCTCCATTAATCTGCTATGAATCGTACTCGGAGTATTTAGTGGCTATTGTCTTGAATTATCATTTTAACAGATGAACAGGTTGTTCGAGCAGTATCAAAAACCAAATAATTTAAAAAATGTGACCGAAATGTAACAGGCTTAAATGACACATGTGTGGTTGATGGGGCGCGAACTCAAACCCTGCAGGGTAAATTTGTGTTCCTAAAATATTTCTACCAATTTAAAGATAATGAGTAAAAACAATTCTTTTGTGTTTAAGGCCGAGCTCTTTGTGGATAGTGTTTATGTGTATTTATATATGGTGGATATATGGATATGGATATATGGAATCGGATGTATATGATTGAGCGCATTTATTCTTGCGAAACATTAGTTAATGGAATCGATTGCCTCTTCTTAATTCTTGTTTCAAATCAGCGATGGATTGCGTTTTCTTGTTTTTGCTAAAAGAAAGTTCAGGGTATCTCCTATCTTTTGAAAACAAAAAAACAAATTTTCTCTATATTTCCATATATTTATTATTTTTTGTTTAGGCTTGCAATATTAAAGCAGCTCACAGGTTATAAATTTGCCAAAAACATTGTTCAATTAGACAGTCGACTCACAATGCCACTTATTGTTGGATCACTTATTGGTGGGCTAAAATACAATTAAGCATTCAATATAAATTATGCCATCATGGCACCTATTAACTAGGGCACTGTCATCAAGCATTTCGTAGTAAATTGATATATGCATTTTAAGCAGCGTTTCCCTGTAATCTCTTGGGTGTGGTTTTTTGTGTGGCCCTTGTTAGCCGCTAATTTGAGTTTTTTACATGTCTCCGCAACGCATTCATTAGCAACCCTTTTAAAAAGCAGCGCCATTAATCAGTGTCCTGCAGTAATTCGTCAATGTCCGCCATGGATCGTCCTTGGTTTATTTTGTGCCATTTGCTTTGGATGGTCAGGCTAACAGTTGAGGCAGATAGCTCGGCAGTTTTTCAACTGTTGAGCAGCATTAAAAATCAAGATAATTTCAATTATTTGTTATTTATGAAATATCAAAATTCCCGTGTGTCAGAAAAGTTTATGACGGATCAAACAGACGGTAATTGTTTTGTGAAAAGCTTAATGGAAAAGTTGCAAACGCCTGTTGTGCAATTCGATGAGCACGCTAATAGTTTTCTGTATGAAAAACATAGCAGTCTTGTGCTGTCTGTGGTATATTTGATCGGCATGGATTTAGACGAGAACGAGAGCTTGCTAAATGCACTGGTTACCAACTTGCGACTCATGACCATATCGCGGGTGGTGTTTATGGTGCAGCTCGGAGAAGCCAATGAGACGTTTCTATACAAATTGTTTACCTATTGCTGGAAAATGAAGCTACTGAATGTGTTGGCAGTATTTGAGAACTATAACGTAAATAACAAAGCATGCAGAAATCAATTTGGCATATTAATAGGCGTATTCTACATTCCAGACTACGAGCACCTTCTATAGCTATACGCAATTTCCCAGTTATCAATTGGAGCAACGTGTATATGATCCCAGCTCGACTATTTTTCCTGATCGTCTGAGAAATCTACACGGCTATAGTGTGCGCATTATAATTGGTGGCGCGACTCCGCGCATCATTCTCTACTATAATAAACAGGGCGATATTATCTATCGGGGCACATTGGGCCACTTTATGGATGTCTTTCAGCAAAAATTCAATTGCACTTTAAAGCAGCCGTTTCCAGTTAAGCCGAATGTGTTAGTTCCTTCAACGGAGCTAGTGGCAGCTGTGCGCAATGGTACCGTGGACCTGTCATTGGCGATTACATTTCCTAACCAGCTCAATATGCGACCTTTTACTTATCCGTACGAGCAAATGAATTGGTGTCTAATGCTACCAGTGGAAGCGGATATACCACACGCCGAGTATTATGTCAATGTCTTTGAGCTGCAGGCATTCTTGCTAACTCTGGCCGTCTTGGTGGTTATTTCCATGACGCTTTCGTCGATTCTGAAGCACCACGGGTATCCGGTGGAGATGTACGAGTTTATACTGCATGATAATTGCTTAAGAGGAGCTCTGGGACAGTCTTTTTTTGAGGTACGTCGCGCTTCGGTACACCTACGCGCCATCTACGTGCAGATCTGTTTACTGGGCTTTCTGCTTACGGCCTGGTATAACTCTTACTTCTCGGCTTATGTGACCAGTAGGCCCAAGGAGCCGCCTTATCGAACCTACGATGATATACTGGCCTCCAATTTGAAAGTGGCCGCCTGGGAATCGGAGTATAATGAGCTTATTGGACGCCTAAAGGAGTTCCGGAAGTACGCACCAATGTTTCTGGTAGAGCCTAGTTTTAGTAAATTTATTCGCATGCGTGACACCTTTGACACTAAACATGGCTTTATGATGACAACCAGCAAGTGGGTGGTAATTAACGAGCAACAGAACATCTTCAGTCAGCCACTGTTTCGCATGCGCAATGATTTTTGCTTTTTCAATAATATTCCCCTTGGTTTTCCGGTGCACGAAAATTCGATTTATAAAAAGCCCATACAAAGGCTAATTATGGAACTTGCCGATGCTGGCTTAACATCTTATTGGACTTCAAAGGGATTTTCAGAGCTTGTAGAAGCAGGCGAAATGCATTACTTGGACCATAGTATGCGCAGAGAGTTTCGTGCCATGCAACTACAGGATTTGGAATATGTATGGTATGGCTTTGCTTTTATGGTATTATTTTCTACAGCAGTTTGGCTGCTCGAACTGGTATTAAATCGGCTAAAACGCCGAAGCCAACGCAGGCATAAACTCTCTCAGTATTAGCTATAATCTTTCTAATCTAATCTAGCATTTGTAAGGCCTTACTGAACCAATAACTTTCATATGTTTGTTTTCGATTAGTTGGGGACTTCCGTGCATTTTAATTATTTTTCACTTTTATTTTCAATGCTCAGCCTTACAGACTATTAATTTGTCAAAAGTTTGTGCAGGGTCCGCATATTTGTGTACCCTGCTCACCTGCTCCTGGGTTTCGTTGTGCAAATGTGCTTTGGCTCAAAGTTCATCAAATGCAATTAAGATACCTGTTCATTGTGGCTGCGGTTTCAGGTCCCCCAAGGTGCCACGAAGACGACGTCTTGGATGATATGAGCCACCTGCGCCAGTAACTGGCGCCTCTTGAAATTCCCTAATCGACATGTTTCGATCTCAAATGACTTGCCGCTCACTACGCCACACGGTGAGGCAGACGTTGCCGTTGCAGTTGCCCGATCTGGCCAAGACGCTGCGAGTAAAACATTTTCTCTAATCTGCACTGATGTTTGCTGGCTGTTGGCGCATGCGGCACGCATTTGCAGCCCCCTGCCCCACAATACCGCAAGGCTGCGGCACAACCCGCTGATGATGCTGTTAATGCAGCAGTAGCTGCGCACTTTGATTTTGACTGACAAGTGCCGCCTGTGTAATGTTGCAGCCGTCGTAGCTGTTGTTGTTGTTGTTGTTGTTGACATGCGCAGCTGCATGCGCTTTCATGCGCTTCCTTTATGGGAGAAAATTATTTATATGCCCCTGATGATCTTTGTCCAGGTACAGGTCTGTAAAACTAATTAACACAATGCCAACGCTCAGTTACTAACAATGAGTCCAAGGCTTTGATGTGTTCGCTTTTCGGTTTGACCATGAATTAGATATATATCGTTTAATTGTCAATAAAACTTTTTATTCTTCTTTATTTTGATGTTTAATGCTTGCAATACTTAAATATGTAATGTAAGACTTAATTGCTAATGGGTAGCTGTTTTTTTTTTGTTTTTTTTTTGTCTTTTTGTTTGCATAAATAATAACTAACAAACATTTAACTAAGTACAATTGTAATTTGATTGCGCCTAAAACTATGCGCTATATATGTGTATAAACAAGGGCTTAAATTCAAAAAATTATTATGTACATAAACTAAATTCAATAAATTAGAAAATATTGCAAAATTCACAGTAAGTATATATAACAATATATGTAACGTAACCCAAACACCAAAATATAAATCATTTTTTATTAAAACTATCACATAATAATTGGCAGTTTAATTAACATTAACTATCCATAGTTATTCAATTTGTTTTACTTAACTTAGAATAAGATATAAAATTAGCTCATTTTATTTATAGTACATACAATTTGCGATTCACACAGCGGCGAGTATAAGAAGATGAGTACTATGAAAATTGAAATAGTTATCAAGTATAATATGTAAACGAATTCTATATCAAATACAAAAAAATAATGGCAAGTGCAATGCGTTCAAGCATTCTATGATCTGTAAATAGTTGATGCACGGGGATAACTTGAACACTTCTCAGATTTGCGAAAATGTGAGTATTATTTGTGAGGAAAAAAAAACACGAGTTAAATATGTTACTTGTGCTTGGAATAAGAGATCCTTGAAGAGAAGACATTGTTTGATACATAAATTCGTATTTCTCAGGTGTAATTATATGCCAAAAGGACTTTCTGATTTATTTTAAAAAACTTGTACTAATTTTAATGAAGTGTTCAAAATTGTTCGCACAACTGGCTTTCTCTTAAATTAGGTCGTATTTACACTGAGGAAACTTATGCTAATTTGGGCAAAGCAACTCTAATGAAATACTTTTAATTTACAGGAAACGCTTCTCAAAATACATTTTAATTATTGTCATAATATTATTATTTAATTTCTTTAACGTAATTAATTACAGAAACAATGTGGGTGAGTTCATAGATTTTATTTGTTGCAAGGAAGCGTTTGGCCTCATTTTGATATCACCACTCGTAAATTTGCTTATTAGCTTCATTTTAACTTTTTTATTTTTATAATTAATTAATTATTATTTAAAATTGCTTGTTAATTTATCTTGCTTTAAATTTGGCACATTTAAAATTAATTTGTGTATGTGTGTTTATGAGTGTGTGTGTGTGTGTTTTAGGTATAAAATATAATTGAGTATTTTATTTGGAAGTGCATTTAGTGAGTTTGTGATTTTGTCTTGATGTGTTTGTGATATAGGAATTGCACAGAAAGCTGAGATAGGAATTCATCAATGACAATTTTTTGATCAGGAAAGATCATTTTCTAGGAAATAATTTCCCAAGAGTATTCAAGTAGTTATCTTAGTTTTTCATATTGTTTTGTATGCTGTTAGTAAGGAACAAGAAATAGTTTGCTGTTTTGTGTTTTGTGGAACATAGCCTATACATATAAAAGCCAAGGTCGGCACACTACCGGTTCGCCAACAGACCATTGGCAGGCGGTAATACGCCAGGCGGCGTATTTGGCCCACTCAGCACGACGCCGGCGCTCATTAAACTGGGGCTGGCCACCGTGGTGGCCACCGCGCTGAGCTGTCGCTGTTGGACAAGACTTGCACCGGTGTTAGCTGCAGTGGAACCACCACGCTGATGCTTGGCGGAACTGCCTTTGATCAGGTTGCCATTGTTCTTCTGGGTCATGTGTGTCTGATAGTGTTTGGCCAGGTGTGCCTTTTGCCTGAAGCTTTTGCCACACAGCGAGCACGCAAAGGGCTTCTCGCCCGTGTGCGTGCGTATGTGCACATTCACTGAGTATTTGTCCTTGAAGCCTTTGGAGCATATGGAGCAATAGTGTAGTGAACGCTCCTTTCGCTGCCCACCGCCACTGCTGGCCGAACTACCGCTCGCATTGCAGTTGGCAGGCGGACTATTACTGCTGCTGCTGGCGCTACCGCTTGACGAGGAGCTGCCACCATTGCCAATGACCACACCCAGAACGTTGCTGCTGTTGTTGTTGCTGTTATTGTTGTTGGCTACATTAGGATTATTGTTGTTATTGTTATTGTTGCTGTTTGAGCTGTTGGCGCTGCTGTTGCTACGCTTGTATTGCTTCTTGGGCTTGCTAACGCCTCCAAGGCGACTGCCTGCCACAGATGTGCCCACAGCTGTAGCTGTTGTCGATGTGGACACCTCCGGCTTGAGGGGCTGTGGGGGCGGTGGCGGCTGCTGTTGTTGTTGCGCATTGGCTAGGGGCTGTAGCTGTGTTGTTGTTCCTGCTGTCGCGCTCGGTGACATCTGCATGAGCACATCGCTGCTGGTATAATCTCCAGGCGTTGGTGTGCCCGTGTTGGCACTGCAGAACTGCTGCACCTCATTGGCAATGCGCTTGATTTTCTCAAAGTCATCGCTAAAAGCATTTTCCAGCGACAGGAACATATCATCGACAATGATGCTGGCATTGCCACCATGCTGGCCGTGATTCGACGAGGACATGTGCGCACCGCTGGCTGCATGACTCATGGACTGTGCATCCTCGAACATTTGCGCGGTATTCAGCGTTGAGTCCGCAAAGCCCAAAGCATCCGCTGCATCATCTGGCGTAAAGAGTAGCCTCCTCATTTCATCATCTTTGACCACAGGCAATGCTAGACCATTTTGCATATGCAGGCCCTTGGCGTAGCCCTTCCCTTGAAGAGCGCTGCGCAGCAGCGATTCCGCAGAGTTCTGTTCCGCCTCCGCGTTGTGATCGGCCATGTGCCAGTCGTTATTGTTATTTTGAAACTGGGCCAGCTGTTGGCCCAGCTCGTTGACCCCGCCACCTGCGATGGAAATGGCAGTTACCAGTGAGGGTAGCGTCTGTCCGTGTGGCTGGGATTGGGAAATACTGCTGAGGCCATTGACATCTGCACCACTGACAATCACATCCTTGCCATCCGTACTGAAGCCGCTGTCGTCGTAAGGATATTCTGATTTGATATAGCCCGGAAAACTGCCCAGCAAACTGTCCAAATCCAGTGCGCTGGGCAGTTGCTCCGTCTCGGCGCGCTTTAACCAAGGCTCGCCTCCATTTAATACTGTCAAAGTGTAAATCTGGCCGTCAGTTGTATCCAGGCTGCTAATGGTATCGCTGCTGCTGCCCGCAGCACTCGAGGAGCTGCTGGCATTGGGCTGCTGTTGTTGTTGCTGTTGCTGTTGATGTTGCTGTTGCTGCTGATGTGGATGTGAATGTGGATGTGGATGCGATTGCGGAGATGTGGGACTTGGCTGGTTAGTACATCGCACATTGCTGGCGTTAACGGTGGTCGTAGCGCTGGCTGTGATCGGCTGCTGCTGCCAGCAGTATCGATCAAGGTCCTCGAAGATAGAGCTGGAGTCAAGGCGGCTGTTATCCTTGTCCTGATGCCAGAACTGCAAAACGAAAAAAAAGAGAACCGAGAACAACATATTATTAAATGAATATTATTGCTTTGCACTGAGGCGCAAAATCCTCATTCAACTTGTTTGCCATTAAAACTTACCTCATAGCCTTGTAACGTGGGATCGCCGCCATTGCTGGTGCTGCCATTACGATTGCTCACTGGAATGCCGCTGCCGGCGCCTTCGCCGCCGTCGTGTGTCATGCTGCTGGTGGTTCTTGCGCCGCCGCCGCAGATGGCCTGCTGGGGCGTTTGTGATGTCGTTGGCTGATGACCTTGGCTGTGGTTGTGACTGTTGTGCTGCTGATTGTGCTGCTGCTGATGGTGCTGCTGCTGCAGGCTAACGCCTACCCCCACATCCACCCCAACACCGATGCCAATGCCCATGTCCGGAGCTGTGACGAAATCGAAGAAATCCGTTTTTGAGAGATCCTCGGTACGAAAGGATTCACTTATATCCATGCCAGTCGATGTGGACATATCCTCAGTGCCAATCATTTGTTGCGCGTGTATTTCCAGTTCGCAAAATCGTTTATTCAGTGCTGGCCAATATGTGGATTTTTAAGTGTTAATAAGCTGTAATATTTAAAAGAAGGTATAAAATAATGTTTATACTCTTATTTTCTCAATCATTTGATTTAAAGAAAAACTTCTAGCTTGTTATTTAATTGAATTTTAATGCAAACACAAAATTAATATGGCTAAAGGTAGTTGAAAAATCCGATCTGAGTGGTGATATATATATATATATATATATATTTTTTTTTTTTTTTGTGCAGCACCGTCCACTCTGCTGATTAGTAAACAGTTTTCCTCGGACTCTTTGGGGACATGTACATTAATTTATTTAAGCCACTTGTCAGTTGGCTGCATAATTCAATCACTCATTCATTCGCCCATTTCTTGCACTCAGCTCAGCTCAACTCGCCTTGCCCCACCTCGTCTCACTTTGTGGCTCAGTTCGGTTGGACGTGCATTCCAGCAATACTTGCATTTTAATTTGGCCAGCTACTTTAGCCTTCTCAGTTTTTTGCTGGCTATCTGCAAACAAATAAATCAAACTGACAGAAGGGTGACAAAGTGTAAACACATTTGGCGCGCTCGGCTCGTAAATCTCTTGAAGCCGCACTTGGACTTTGGCTAAAACCAAACCTGACGCTGTGACACGCTGTTTTTGTTTCATTTGCATAGATTCTGCGAGCCGCATAACAAGCCGTCCATTTAGAACAGGCAACGAGCCGCTGCCAAAAATATCGCTACGAGTCTGAACTATTGGCTACCCATGGAGCTGGAGGGTGCTGCTGCCTTTGCTGTCTTGATTAGAAACCTATTTGGTCAGTCCGAGATCGAGTAATCGATGCCAGGCAGCAATCGAAATCGAATTGACAGCTTGCGTGCAGTTGCTGTTGCTGTTGCAGCGATTGCGATAGGGATTGTGATTTTGATCTGTTGTTCATGTGTTTGCTGTGGCCTGCCTGCTCCGTCAAAGTCGTGCAGCAAGTACTAAATGTTCAAATTGTCAATTTATTTGCTTTTTTTTTTTTTTTTGATATTTTGCTTTTATTACCATTTTGTTTTTGGGCTTGGACTCTGCATATAGGAAAAATGGACGGCATTTCGAGGCCTGGTGTGGCAGCGTGAGAACCACAAACAGAAATGACTTAACAAATTTGCATACAACACAGAGAGCAAAGAGCTTGGCGTATTCTCTAGCGCATACTTTAGATAAGGGCAAAGCGAAGAGAAAATGCCATGGTATAAATATTTCAGATGCTGTTGCTAGGAACATTTAAGTGCAATCTACGCAGAAATCAACTAAAATGTGAAGCCAGGTCTTTGAAATGCTTATTTAAGACCGCTGCCGCTGCCGCATCAACACCTGATCTCCAAAGACATTAAAGTGCGGCAGCGGCAGCCAAAGACACGACCCATTAGAGCCTGAATGAAAGCAACAACAACAACAGCAACAGCGGAAAAAACAGCTTAAAGTACAACAAGTGCAGGCCATTGGCCAAGTCAGAGACCAAGCGTTCGGCCAGTCTGCATTTTAGGCTCTCAAAGTGAGCTCGTTTTCAGTGTTTTCCACGGCTTATCGCCCGTTCATCTGACCGGCCATAGAAGGCAAAGGCTGCCTCCTGAAATTTCACCAAAAACTTTGCGGCTTGGCTCAAATGCGTAATCATTTGTAGTCATTTGCCTGGCTGGTCGTCTGGCTAGTTGCATGGCTGCTTGGCTACTCGGCTGCCCGGCTGCCACTCGGTAGTTTAGTTAATCATGATGTTTAAAATCAAAAATTACTTTATACATATTTTATGGTCCAAACACAGCGTGCGATAGAGAAAGAATGAGAGAAATAGAGGGAGAGAATATAATACTTGACTATAAAATTCATAAAAAATATTAAATAAAATAATAAGCTTTTGTTAGAGCGTTTTGGGGGCGCAAATATTGACTAATTTGGCCACGATTATTGTTATTTGACTGTGGCCCAAACAAAAAGAAAGTTTACAGGCTGCGCAGCCGCGCGCCTGGAACGTGCATATAGTACATACAGAGATACAGATGGCTGATCGGCTGCCTGGCGGCCAATCATGTACGTGCATGTACCCAGCACATGCATCATGAGCCAAGATGAAGATGCATGTGGCCGCGACTCTGAGTAAGGCTGCGGCAGCGGCTGCGATTGCAGTTTATTTCACTATGCTGCATAGCAATTGCAATCGTAATCGTAGAAATTGTTAGCGCATTTTGGCCAATGCAAACAGCCCGCAGCGGCTTCATTTAAAAAACATGATATCATGATAGGTTACCTTAACTCCTTAAAGGGTATATTAACTTTAATGCTATGTAAACAAATAAAGTATGCTAATAAGATATTTAACTAAAAATAAGGTATTTCCTCAAATATCGGATATTAGTTAACATCGTTTTTTTTTTATACCAACTAATATCTTTACATAAAAACTATTAAGAATACAAATTTCAAGTAATTATTTTACATTTTGCAAAGAGCGTACTTCATGTTCGGTTAGTAGAAATTCGGTTTTGAAGTAACTTGTTTATGTTGCTTTCAATTTTGTTGGATTGCCGATAGAGGGGGTTTTTCTCGATTATGGGCCATAAATAAAAATGCGCCAATAATTTTTTTAATTAAACGAAATTTTGGCATATTTATTTACACATACAAGTCTGCATCGTGTGCTATTTGACATGCAGTTAAGCTCGGAGGTTTCAGAAAATATATTGTGCTGTGGTCTGGCTTTGTTAGGCATGCAAATTGCCAAGGAAAATTGCCAGGGAAATTTATTGAAGTATGCAAAGAGCACACAACAACAACAAAAATTATGAAGTTTTCGGCACAATTTCTTTGGTGTGCATGGTCGGGCATGATTAGCATCCCTCCATCTTGTGACCCGCCGTAGCGGGCGTCAAATACAAAGAAAAAAAAAAAAACAAAATAAAATGCGGTAGTCAAAAGCCACCGCCGTTGCTGAGATTAGTTTATGTGCAGGAATTTTTATATTGTGGTTACACAATTTTCCTCAACATTGTCCATCACCTTACCCTTTTCAGCCGCTCAACAAGTTTGCCTTAAAAATCACACGCCTGAGCTCTTCTGCCTTTGTTGGTTTGATCGCAATTTCTTGTCAAATGATTTAGTTTTTTGTTTTTTGTGCCTTTGTTGTTGATTTTTTCACGATTTTCCACGCATTTTTAACCTAAATACCGTGCTAAACGATTTTTTAATGTCTTCACTAACAAGTTTCAATTACCAATAGGTAACAGCCATGGCAAAATGCGTACAGATGCCGTTTGCAGACATGTTCAAATGAAAACCAGTCCCCAACCCCAACCCAGCTCAATCAATTAAAATAATTCAACAATTGTAGTGAAATTGCCAAAGAAAGAAAGATAAAGAAGACAATGCGGCAAAAAAAAAACCTGTAGATCCAGACGAGCCACGAGAATTCGTAACAGGCAACAAGTTGACTCACGTAGCGCAATCAAATTGCACTTCGATTGGCTAAAATGGAGCCATCAGTGAAAATATCTTTGGATTTGTATGTGCACTTGTCGATAAAAGAATATTTATTGACCTAAGCTAAGTAGATTGAGATGAAGGTGGTTGCTTTTGAAAGTGGTTGCTAAGTAAGCACCACATTTGGTTTCTTCTTTTAGGATCTTTAGCCAGATAACTAAGTACTCCATATATGCTTTGAGGTTTTTCTGAGAACTATTTGAACAAATGCGAAGTGTATCGAGCTATATTAACATTTATTGGTTGTAACTGATTGAAAGTACTCTTCGGCAATTCTGTTAACATTTTCAACGGCGTATGAAAGTGAATAAGGTATAAGGCATATAATTTGGCACATCGTTATAAACAGGAAGATATTTATGCTGTGAAATTCTTTTTGCTGTGTAATGAAAAAAAGTCCTATTCTATAACGGCCTGTAAGACGCATCATAGGCGAATGGAAGCTCGTAAAAACGAATTTATGCAGCTGCAAATTTAGCCATATTTTATTGATTTCTTTTTCTTTTTCGCTCACATTTATTTCTGCAATGCAAATGTTCATCGTTAGTGAAGTGAGACCGCTCTGCACCATGCCATAAGCCAGTCGATCATTTTTCAACCAGATAATTATCGCCCACCAACCGACTGAAAGGCTACTGCCCCAACCGGCCAAATGCGCGTAACGGCCGCAGTTGTGGCTGCTGGTGCTGACCAATTGACCAATAGCCGGACAGGTTGATAAGCGGATGGGACACGGCTGGCAGCTGTTGCAGCGGGCTTATGTTTCAATTGCATGCAAATGCATAATTGAATCAAATGGTCTTGCAGCTATGTTTTCGCCAGTAACTGCAACTGCAACGGCAGCAGCTACTTTCGAACTGAGGCCCGCCTAATGAAGTAATCAACAGACAGCATCTCAACTTTGGCTGGCATTGTCAATCAAAAGAAACGTTTTTATTGGCCTGCGTTACAAACCAAATAGCATCAAGATGTATTAATCATTTCGACCACTGTTGTAGCTTGTTGGCCAGCGTTGGCGGGCGACGCGTTGCGACGCGCTTCGACGCTGACTGCGGCAGTGGCAGTGGCAGTGGCAGTGCTTGTGTAGCAGCGTAGCCGTTGTAGACGCGTCTACAGCGCTTTATCAGAGCGCGCAGATCTTTGGCATAACGAAACGTAAAAACGTAAAAAGCCAAATAACTTCAGGCGAGACAAGCATGATTAAAATGCGCAAAAATGGCAAACTCCAAATGGGCGCTGCATGTTGGAAGCGCCAAACACAGGCAACAACAAGAGCAACAACAACAACAACAACGAAAACAGCAACGCCGTGTGATGTACACGCGGCGCATTTCAATTCCATTTGATTAATGACAAAGCCTTAAAAGCAACTGCGACCGCAGCGGCAAACGAAGATGTTGCTGATTGGCCCGTTGTCCATTGCTGTTGTCAACTGCCAATTGCAGTTGCCGCTGCTGCTGCTGCTGTTGCTGCTACTGCGCTTGCAGATGCAACATCTTAGTTATTCGCAGTTATTTTTTATGACAGAAAATAAAAA